AGCAAGAGAGGGGTACTGGGCAAACTGGCTGACCTCAAAGATCACTGCCCATCAGCATCCTTCCCCTTCCACCCTGGCTACCAGTAAGCGCCCCTTCACGAAGCAGCTCAGAACGCATCCAGGATATAGCTACCTGCGACACCACCGCTGACTTCCGCTGTCTGTTAGTGCGTTCTCTCGCGTACGTTTAAGACTGTGCCGAGGGTTTACTGCTCAGTCTCTCCTCCCAATCTCTTCTCTCAGCATCTGCCTCTCCATCGTTGTCTCTCTCTCTCCCTCTCTCTCCTCTCTCTCCTCTTTCTCCTCTTTATGCACTGCCCCTCATCTCAATCTCCTATTTCAAAGGGATGATAATTGTGCTGTAAAAGCGTTTGGGTGCTCATTGCATTTTCACCTTGAACAAAAAAAATCTCACCTGAATATACAAATAAGAGTTGGTTAGTTGATATATTGTTCACCAAGTTTCTTGTCTTGATGATTTCTCATCTCACTGTAATATAGGCCTACCATTTCTATTGTATCACTCATAAACTGTCAATCACCATGTTTTTCTAACCTTTCCTTGCTATTTTTACATGGTTGTTATTAGAAAATAAAAGGAATACCTGTGGTATTTCAAATTGAAAAACATGTGAAGTACTCACTTCTTTTGCAAATCACTTGTAATGATGAACTATTTTGTGCTAGAAATTATGGCTATAACAGGCAGTGGCCTAGTATACAGCCCACATGATCGATCCCGGCCCCTCATCACAGTCAGGAACGATAATGTGGCCCCCAGAGAAAAAAGTTTGGGGACCCCTGCTTTATATGGTTCCAACTGCAATGACGGACAGACATCTACGGTGGCCCTGAAGTGCAAGACACCACAGCATTTCAGAGAACACCACAGCATTTCCAAAAACGCTACAGCATTTCACAAAACACAACAGCATTTCAGAAAACGCCGCAGCATTTCACAAAACGCCACAGCATTTCAGAAAACACAACAACAGCCAGCTCTGGCTGGCTCTGTCCAATCACAAACAAGAAGTGTTCTCCCTAAGGAATACCCTTTCCGTCCAATGTGAAATGCTGTGGTGTTTTCTGAAATGCTGTGGTGTTTTCTGAAATGCTGCAGCGTTTTGTGAAATGCTGCGGCGTTTTCTGAAATGCTGTGTTTTTTTTTTCTGAAATGCTGTGGCGTTTGGTGAAAGGCTGTGGCGTTTTGTGAAAGGCTGTGGCGTTTTGTGAAATGCTGTGGCGTTTGGTGAAAGGCTGTGGCGTTTTGTGAAATGCTGCGGCGTTTTGTGAAAGGCTGTGGCGTTTTGTGAAAGGCTGTGGCGTTTTGTGAAAGGCTGTGGCGTTTTGTGAAATGCTGTTGTGTTTTGTGAAATGCTGTGGTGTCTTGCACTTCAGGGCCACCGTAGAATTCATAGGAAAGGTTTTAACAGTTTTAACATTATAAACAACGACAGCTGTATTAACACCCCCTGTTTTACTCAAACACGCACACGCACGCGTCCACTTGTATGTGCACACATTTGAACGTAACAAAACATAGATGGTTCACAAAACCTTGGGGAAAGCCTCTCATGAACTACAGACTCAGTGGGCCTGATATAAATAACCCCCGTGTGTTGGAATCGTTGGAAATGAGTGTGTTTGTGTCTCGCACAAAGGGAATGTTGTCCAAAAGACTGCATATGTTCTGCTCATAATAAACCAAAGGCAAAAACTGCTGAGGAAAAAAAACCCGCCTCCGTGATAAGTTCATTGGTCGACCAGCGATACACGAATTGTCCACAAAGATCTGATTGGTTCAACAGGGAGACGTTTCTGACGCAGCGTCCTACTCCCCCTCGCCCTCCCCTGTAACGTAAATGGCTCATCTCTGCATCCGTCAAAGAGAGAGTCCTCTGCGGTTAGATTGATTGGATATACCAGCCGTCTGACAAGCGGACGTACGTAAAACACAGCGCGGCTGTGGCTTATTGAGTCTGCGCTAACAGAAAAGGAGGAGGTTCCCGAATAGAGTCCTTTATTTATTTCTTTGTTTCCAGTGGGGAAAAATAATAACAGCGACATATACCACAGGCACTTCATTTATTATCTGGGTCCGAATACTCAAGAAAACTGGATAAGATTACAGTGGTTACTCGAAGGCCAAAGCCAAGGGGAGGAGGATGAAGCGGCGCAATGCGGACTGCAGCAAACTCCGACGGCCGTTAAAACGGAACCGAATCACTGAGGGTATATACGGCAGGTAACTCATATGGAGCCAGGCGGAGGGGTCCTCCTCACCACAGTGACGGGATGCACTGAGTGGGGATGCTTGAAGTCTCATACTGTGGAACGTCTCTAACGTTACCATTGATCTCAATGAACTGCAACTGCCAGCTAGCTTATTAACATAGCTAATGGCCAGTGATAGCTTAGTGTATGCTAGCTGTATGTTTTTGTTGTACATTAGCAGGTAACGTTAGCTGTTAAGCTAGCCTTAGCGCTAGGCCCCAAAACAGCCTGTTTTAAACCATGTCACAACGTCTGTTTCTCTGAAATAAGATGCCGTGGGTCCTTGAACACTCACTAACAACCCAGACTATCTACCGTTTGCCCAAGTCAGTTGTCATCTGCTAGCTGCATCTAAATGAGCCGTTTCTCTGTTAGCTAAGGTAGTTTTGGAGCTAGCACAACAGCAGCATTGCCAACTTTAACCATGAGTCCCAGTTATCTAGTCATATCAAAACATATCATTTAAACATTAACTGTAAACAGGAATTGATACAAATGTGATTGGTTTTACTTCTGAAGACCATTTGTTGCACTATTAAGACAACTTAAGGCTGCTTAGTTTTACACCTGGCTATCTAACTATGTGTGAACTATGTGTCTGACAAACTAAACGTTATAGGCCACTGGTTACACACGTGGCATCTGAACCCAGTGATGAGGGGCGGTTCTTGAAATATTGAGCAGGTGCTCCTACCACAAAATAGGTTTGCTTTGAGATCAGAGAACACTCCTACTGTGTCCCTTTCTGGGTCTCAGTGTCCTATTGACAGAAAATGTAAACTGTCAAATATTTCTCTTGTAATGTATTGACATGAATCATGGCAAGAACCAGCAATAAACTACAACATTATGTGTGTATTTATAATCTCCACCATTTTTGAAAAATTGTTATATATTATGCCATGTACAAATGTTGAAATCACTAACACAAAAACAGGTCAGAGTGCAGACATATACCTCATCCTGATGGCTTTACAAGTCTGACATTTCTATGCACTAGTTCTGTATAAATGAATATTTTCATTTAAATATTTAAACCGCTAAGAGGAAGTGCAATGCAAACTTGCATGTTATCTGTCAAACAGCAGCAATAGGCTCCAGACACCTTGTATTTGATTCACACACACCCACAAAACACTTACATTAAAGCTGGATCTCCTTTTTGAAGCATTGATCTCAGGTGACATGCCGTTTAATAATGACTATTGGGGGTAAATAAGAGTGTCTTGCAGTGTTTTACAAAACACGTTTCATACAAACTTTTTCCTTCTCATGTTTTAGTACCTTCCTGTACCTGAAGTTCCTGGTGGTTTGGGCCCTGGTGCTGCTGGCAGACTTTGTATTGGAGTTCAGGTTCGAGTACCTCTGGCCGTTCTGGCTCTTCATCCGCAGTGTGTACGACTCCTTTAGATACCAGGGGCTGGTGAGTGGCTATTTCTTTATACTTATTAGGATTTCATAAAAGTCAAGAAAGAGCGTAGACCTTTTTTATACCTATTGTTTTTCACAATTTAACTTTTAGATTTTCACACAAAAATAAACAAGTACAAACCTACTATAATTATGTTCTTATACTTCATTTAGAATTTTTTCAGCACCATAGCGCTACTGTAAGTGCCAGTTTCATGGACACATGCAAACAGTTACTCTATTATCACAGAATTGTATTTCAAAATGCCTTGACCTAAATATAAGCAACTAAATGTCTTCGCACTCGCAATCATATCTTGTTTCATGTTAACTAAATAAAAAGCCTAAACATTGATTCACCCTTCTTAGCAAGAGGAACATTCAAAAGTATTGGTAGATAGATCTAATCAGGCGCTAAGTTATTATCCAAAATCCATCATAGATTGACTTTCCTGTGGGTCCTTTATTGACAGTTTGCTTTCATTGAGCTGCAATCTGTGTAGGTGTGTGTTGTTGGTGAATATGTGTCTCACAGGGATGCACACATGTAATATTCACCTAACGATTTGTGGCATAATTCAACAATGAAATGTGAAGTTTAATCAACCAGAGCAAGATCACTCTAACAAGAATGAAATGTCTTCAACATCTTAAGGGGGGCTGTTAGCCTCAACTCCTATCTTTTACTTTTATATAGAAGATTCTTTAGTTTTATGAAAGCTTGTGTTTCATGATAATCATACCAGCCTCTCCTCTCTCCTTCAGGCCTTCTCAGTATTCTTTGTGTGTGTGGCGTTTACCTCGGACATTATTTGCCTCCTCTTCATCCCAGTGCAATGGCTATTCTTCGCTGCCAGTACCTATGTGTGGGTGCAGTATGTTTGGCATACAGGTGAGGCCCTCCAATGTGTATAAGTGTCTTGATATATGTGAGTTTAAATTCTGCATATGAGACCTAGCCCTTGATCTAACTGTAGTCTCATTTAATCTGTTTTCTACATTAGTTCTCATAACAATGCAAACAAAACCAGGAAGGAAGAAGCTTTCTGTGTATTCAAATGATGGACTACAAAGATAAAGTGTTCACAGACCACACTACTTCTTAGAACTGGCTCTATTTCTTGTTGTTCTTCCACTTCCAAAACAGGTGTGAAAAGTGTTGCGCAATCCCCTGCACATTGTGTTATTGTATTTACAAATACTTGGTTTATGCTTCTAAGAATTTAGCATGCTGTGTGTAAGCGAGCCGCACTCTGTAGATAAGTTGTCAGTCTAATTTAGCGGTGTCCCCCGTGTTGACTGAAGGCCAGGTGTCAGATGGGGGAAGGAGAAACACAAGAGTGGTTCCCAGTTGCTTTTTCAGCACTCTAACTTTACGCACCAGTGACATTCTCTGTTGAAGTATTCATATCTCTTAACACTCCACGGCCCGCTGGGGAAAGCCTTGCGGCTTAGTGCAGCCAAGGAAACAATGGGTAGTGTTTGTAGCCTGACAACTGCATGTGTTTTGTAAATAATAGCCATGTGGAGTGCAGAGAAGGCTTTTACAGAATAATGTATGAAAGGTCTATTTTCATCAAGGCTTCACTTACATTTGACACAGATGCTGCTTTAACTGATGACATCGCACTGGAAGATACACTCTTGAACCGCAAACACAAATATAAAGCATATTTGATCAAAATGGAGGTGTGCTGCAAGAGATCGAGAGCACAGTAGTTTAACAATGGAGTCCATAAAGATTTGCCAATGTCGTTATTCTAAAAAGTTTGTTTCGGACCGTTTTATTGGCTGCAACATCATATAGTAAGCACTAGGGTCAGCTGTGCTATCCATTTTCATCAAAATAAGCTCAGGCATATTATTTTAAGATAGAAATGTGTATACAGCATTAAATAATGATCCAGGCAGAGACTTGTGAAGGAATAATTAAACCATGATATAGTATTCTGTGCCAACATTGCCATTTTGGTCCTCCTCATTGCTATGGACACAGTGAAGATGGTACATAATGCTGATTTTATAACATGTCTCTCCTGCTTTGTTTTTTTTCCAGAGAGAGGAGTCTGTCTGCCCACCGTGTCTCTATGGATACTCTTTGTGTACATCGAGGCAGCCATCAGATTCAAAGACCTGAAGAACTTCCACGTGGACCTGTGTCGTCCCTTTGCTGCACACTGGTGAGCTGCTGTTCTGTTTAAACTGTGTGAAACTCTGTTCCTGACAGACGGGCTTTGGACTGAAAGGCATGTCTAGGTTTGGTGCCGACTGTGTCAGCATGGTAGAGAGGAATTATGTGGACACAGCATTATATCAACTCATCTCAATGTTCACACTTTTGAATTGCTCTGCACTACATGAAGTCATTAATGTCACATGCTTAGTTACGTGTTAGGCTTCTTAGCTTCCTTTTTCTTCCCTTTGCTCATTTTCAAGGCTGGATGACCTGAGTGTTAAAGATAACGATTGAATGCACTTGCATATGCTTTACAGTATAAGTAGGTAGGAAGAGTTATACATTTGCACACTTCACAACTGTTGCACCACACTTTCCATTTTAAATCAAAACATTTGATCTCTTATCTTATCTTTTAGGAAGTGTAGAGACATTTGCTGTGCCATGATGGGATAACACCACAAAACCTGTATCTTTGCAAATCGGTATCTGTGTTTAAGCTCTAAGTTCTCCCCCTGCATGTTTATAAAATGCTCACCTCTGAAGTGTAGGATTGTAAAATGTGTAAGGTTACATGAGGTCTGCAATTTTTAGAACCCCTACAAGCTTTAAGCACGGTTTGACTATGTTCACTTATGTTATGCGGTGAAGTTTAGCTTCTAACTATATCAATAATTCTAAGGTATAAATAATTTAAGTGCACTATTGTTGCAGTGGTTCATTGATCAATTCGGTATTTTGCGCTGTTGATCTATGAACCAAGAGTAGACTGATGAGTGCTCTTCTTGTGTCCATCTCTGCAGCATTGGCTACCCAGTGGTCACGCTGGGCTTCGGCTTCAAGAGCTACGTAAGCTATAAGATGCGCCTTCGGAAGCAGAAGGAGGTGCAGAAGGAGAACGAGTTTTACATGCAGCTCCTGCAGCAGGCTCTGCCTCCGGAGCAACAGATGCTCCAGAGGCAAGAGCGAGAAGCAGAAGAAGGTAAAACACACAGACGCATGTACACGGAGCACCTGGTTCAAATCAGAGGCTCACAAACACAATCTACTAAGAGTTACAATAAAAAAATCCATTATTTTAATAATTAGAGATGTAAAAAAAATCATCTAGCTTGCTGCCTCACGTCACTGATGAAACGTCTATGGATTGGGAACATGAATAATCAGCTGGTCAGTCTTTGAGTGTTGACAAAGATGGCAGGTAGCCACCAGAAAGTCCTACAAAAGATCATTAATTTAGATCTTTTTTGCTTTGTTTGTGCGGCTGTTGTTCAGAAGGTAGAGCGGCTGTCAATCAATTGGAAGGGACGTGGTTCGATTTCACCTGCAGTATGGGCAAGATACTGATGGCTAGTGGTGTGTGAATGTGTGAGAAAGTTAGTCTCAGCTGAGCAGGTGGCATCTTAGTTGCCTCTGCATGAATGGGTGAATAGGAACTGACTTAGAAGAACAGTGTCCTGTTCATGTGATTTTAATGAATGGTGAAAAAGGTGTGGACCCTTGCAACAGAACTCTTTCAAATCCCAGACAGGCTTCAATCGAGTTTGTGTTTGTCATGAATCTGTCCTGTCAAACAAGTCAGCATAACTCCCAACATACTTTTGCAGCCCTTCCCTCCCTACCCAAAGTCTGTGGTTGCAGGTTTCCCTGCCTCGCATTTTAAACAAACATACGATGATGCACATTATGATCACAAGTTGAGTGTGATTGGTCAACTTTTTAAAAGAAGCTCAGAGGGAAAAACGAATTGGATGAAATTTCACCAAGAAAATGATGACTTGCAGCAGCGCTGTAACACTGAAGCAGCACATGAATCCTTCTGTCAATGGTTAGAAAAAGAATTACACATGGAACTGTTTAAGGTGACTCTCATGGCTGCTTTACTAAATATATTTCCTTTGTATTCCCTTCACTTCCCCCTTCATTCATACAGCAGCAGTAGTAGCAGCAGCAGCAGCAGCTAAAGGAATATCTGAAGTGGACACGCCTCCAGTGTCACAGAATGGCGCTCCAGCCAATAAAAAGACATCGGCACCTCTGCCAGAGTTAGAGTTTAGAGAAAAAGGGAAAGAGGGAAAGGGCGATGCTAAAAAACAGCACAACAGCATCCTGCCATCAGCAGTGGACTCTAAGCTCCAAGAGATGGAGTATATGGAGAACCATATGAACAACAAGAGACTGACCACAGAGCTGGGCAGCACAGAAAACCTGTTGCTTAAAGAGGACAACAATTCATCGTGCTCCTCCTCATCCTCATCCTCCTCCAAAAACTACAAAAATGCTAGCAGCAATGCCGCGACGCTCAACTCCTCCCCCCGCGGACACAGTGCTTCCAACGGCAGCGTCCCCTCCGCACCCTCATCCTCCTCTTCCACGGGGAAGAACGAAAAGAAGCACAAGTTAGCAGTGGGGAAGGGGACATCGGGGGGCTCCCACAAGGATCCCACAGACAACTGCATCCCCAACAACCAGCTGAGCAAGCCAGAAGCACTTGTTAGGTAAGAAGCACACAGGTGTATTCATTTAAGGGGCCTTATTATGCTTTCTGGGGTTTTCCCTTTCCTGTATTGTGTGTTTATTAGGGATCGTTTTGTATGTGAATGGTCTGCAAAGGTGCAAATCCCTTCATTCCAGAGAGAGTTTCTCTCCCACACACTCTGAAACGCCTCCATTGTAGTCCCTTGTTTATTTCCATAACGTAGTGACATCACTATGTATCACTTCGTCTCTCTTGACCATCACAACAGAGCGGGTCAGTTAACCAATCAGAGCAGACTGGGCTGTGGTTTCAGACAGAGGGTGAAAAGAGGTGCTGCAGCACTGGCAGTATGAGAAAAATAAAAAGCTTTTTAAACTTTAAAGCATGGAGACATGTCACAGTAGAGGCACAAAATATACAAATATGAACCCTCTTTAAGACTGTTATAATATGAAATTAAGTATTTATGCGTTGCTTTTGTTATTGAGACCAAATTTTCTCTCAAACAAAATCCATTTCACCTATAATGATGTGTTGAGGCTAGGGATGTTCTCCTCACATATTTTCCTTAAAGAGCATCTTGCAGGTTAGACACACCAGTAAATAAATGTGTAGGAAAATGATGAATACACCAGATTTTCAAAAAAATATACACTACAGTGACATCTGGCGTAGTTTTTGTAAGACATTTTTACTTCCGCATAAAAAAAGCCTCCGCACGTGACCTCCCGCGTGTGACGTAACATGGGGGAGAGCGGCCGGTCTAACGTTTGAATAAACATGGATCACAATGCTAGTTTTGACACAGAAGAGGTTGAAAATATATATTCGAATGCATATGATTTACAATTATGAGCCTGCTAGGCGTCCAAGAGACCAGGAGCAGCCAAGGATTAGAAGAAATAACGGCCATCGGAGAGAAATGGAGCTGTGTTGTGAGGAGAACCAGTGGAGAACAGGGCAGCTGTCTTGGTGAGTGACCGGCATTAGCTACAGACAGTTAATGTTAGCTAACGTCGGTCACATCACAACATTGTAAAGTTAGCTATCATATATCAGGCTATAACTAAAGTAGCATTGATAATATAGTAACGTTAACTTACTGGCAGGACTGTTGATACTGATCCATAACAGAAACTAATGCGCAAGTATCAGCCGTATCTCGCGTTACCTAATGCAACTCCACACTACGTCTTACGGAGCTGAGAGAGGGAGAGAGAGAGAGGGAGGGAGAGAGAGAGTGAAGCAGAAGACAGAAGAGTCCATGGTTTTCCAAAAACGCCCCAGATCGTCAGCGAGAACAAATACCCGTTTACCAGTAAACAATCATAAGCATCGAACATAGTAATTGAAGGTTACACCCTACCTTCGGGTTGTAACCCATAACAGGGGCATTCAGGAAGGTTTCGCCGGAACATGGCAGCCGTGAATGCACCAACAGAAAAAAGCCAGAAGAGCTCTAAATGCAATAAGAGAACATTTATAATGTCGCAAATTCCAATTTAAAACATCTGGTCAAATCCTTTGATAGTGTGAGCCAGCCATTGCGCTGTACGGTAGTGAAGTATGGGTCACTCAGTCACCCGAGCTATAACCGGCTGGGGACAAACATCCAACAGAGTCTTTACATCGCAGAATTCTGCAGATACAGCTCTTACGTGTCTCAGAGAAAAACACCAACAAATGCCATGTAGACCGCCAGAATTAGGCAGATACCCACTGATCATTAACACTCAACAAGAGAGTCATTGGACATTCTTTAACCACCTTAGGGTCCAGCCCCGAGACACCCTCCACTTCAAAGCCCTCCAAAGCCAAGAGCTACCGCCCAGAGACAGAGTCCCCTATGTCACTGGTGCTGAGGTACTGCCCCCTCTTCCAGCCACTGTGACCAGTCTCTCAACAACACTGCTCTCCAAACACCGAATCAACAGGTCCAAACGCATATAGACACAATGCTAAAGACAGGACTTAATTTACAACATTGGGAAGAATGATAACTAAAGCCAAAGTCAGGATTAGAAAATGTTCCTGGCTCTAAACAGAGAGTATAACATGCAGAGGTATCAGCCTCGTACTGGTCAGAATAGAAAGCAGAGACAGATCCTAGACCAAGTACAGGCTGGCGATGACGCACAAACTGGCAATCGAAACAGGCAAGATCAAAGATGCCTGGCAACCAGAAGAGAGAACAGGAACATGAGTTGTCCACTGTACGACAGGTGAGACTGAGAAACAGGAGAATGCCACTTCCGTCCCTGGAATGCAACAAACATTCAAGAAGCAAGGAGGGCATTACTGGAACAAGTTGAGAAGAGAGAGAGAGAGAGAGAGAGAGGAGAGAGAGAGAGAGAGAGAGAGAGAGAGAGAGAGAGAGAGAGAGAGAGAGAGAGAGAGAGAGAGAGAGGAGAGAAGAGAGGATGAGAGAGGAGAGAGAGAGAGGAGAGAGAGAGAGAGAGAGGAGAGAGAGAGAGAGAGAGAGAGAGACGAGAGAGAGAAGACAGAGAGGCAGAGAGAGAGAGAGAATAAAAGAAATGTCCTGACAGCTGGAGTGTGTTGTGCAACCTGCCACAAACTCCAGCTACCATGATTACAAAGGGTTGAAAACGCAATGTAAAAATGACCCAAAACATCCATCACTAAAAGTCACACCGCTCAAGAACAACTACAACTACGAACCGCGGATTGGTAGAGAGCGGACTCCGACGAAAGTTGCGCCCAGCCATCAGACGTAATATGAACGTTAACAAAAAAGCAGTTTTTAGTAGCAAGCCAAACGGCATCCTTTCCTCTGAATTCCTGGCCCTTATCTCTTGTAAACATATCAAGATCCCTGCATTAACTTTTTTAATTGTGAATTTTCAGGAAGGTAAGCACTAAAATTAGTAAAAAAATGTACAAAAACTGCAAGTTGCGTCTTTAAATCTAAGTACTGAATGCCATTCCTTTTTTCATGATTTTTGCACACATCCACTTCTGCATGCTTAAAGAAACCACCTTTAGCTTTTGTAATTCAAATCAAATACTCGATATTAATAATTCCAAAATCGCTTTAATAACATTTTTTTTACAGCCGACCTTCCTCATGGTTTCCTTCCGTACTGGTTTCGAAGGTCCCTTTTTTTTCAAGGTATTTTATTAAAACTACAAAACAAGTGTCCAGTGTGGTTTTGAGTGGCAGAAGCTTTTGTAAAGGAGTTCGGGACAACCTCTCATTTCCAGAGAACAGAGTGCTAAAGTGTCAAAGCTTTTCATCCTAAAAGCATTCATTTCAAAAACACAGTATCGTTCTTTTTTTAGTTTGCTCTTTTGTCCTGTGTGNACAACTAACCCGTGGTGTTTAGCTAGCTGACAGGCACAACACTAGCACGCTAACACAGCGAGCTAACATGTAGATGTTTCTGTCTGGATTTGATTAAGTGTGCAGTTTTTACGTTAAAGCTGACATATTAAGCTTATTTGGGTTGTAAATGAGTGCTTCTACTGTGACATGTTTCCATGCTTTAATGTTGAAAAATTTCTTTTTTTCTCATATTACCTGTGCTGCAGCACCTCTTTTCTTTACTTTGTCATGTGCATTACCATATATTGTAACCTGTGTTTTGCTACATATGCTCTTTTATCTTACCAAAATAGTAATAAACTTGATTTTGTACATAACTGATGTTTGTAAATATTTACTGATACCCACTTGATACGTTATTACATTATAGAGTTGTCTTCACACATCAAATAATTAGCTTGAACTGAGGTTACAGTCATGCCATTTATAACAGAGATTGATATTGGATATGTAACATAATTCATAACTAACTAGAACCTACTGTATGTTGAGGATCGGGAGAGGGACAACAGTTCTTCCAAAAAGCACTGGTAGTGTAAGAGATATCTTAAAGGGTCATATAATAAAGACAGACATAGGCAGTGTAACGTTGTTGTAACGTGTAAAGCCCTAACATCAAAGTAACAATTCAACAATATTAACCACATAGTCACGAATTGTCATAAGCTACTATTGGCTATAAAGTTTAATACAAATATTACCAAAAATGTACCCAATACCCATTAAAGCATCCAAGTTGGATCATTATTTTAAAAAGCTTACTAATCTGAGGCCATGCATAGGAAATATCTCCCATAGTAAAAACTCATCCACCAATGGTAAACAAATTTAAATGTATTAAATCGATGTTTGTGGTTGTGGAAATACTGGAAGTAACGTTGTGCGATTGCGTTGCCATGCAACAGCTTTGGTTCATATTAATTTACAAACTCTTCAACTACAACCCTAGTTATATTTAAAACATTTTTAGAAGGCCTCGCAAAATACTTTAATATAAATTAAAATGTGAAGGAATGTGTGTATAACAAAATACATCCGTCATAAACACAATACCGGAAACAGACGTAGGCAAGATCCTCAGCTGATTGGATGTTTTAGCCGCAAAGCATGTTGGGATATGGTGTTTATGCGATATGAAATCTGAAAACATGTTTTAAAAATAAAATAATACTTTATTCCGAGTGTGCTTGCTTTACTCTTTGGAAGTCATCACATAAATGCATTGTAATACACGGTTCGGCTGCATTAAATATTAGACATCTGCCGTTGTTCTCTCTTTATAGAGCCCTGATGAGAAGACTTCTGGACAAACTGAAGAACTGCCGCCGAAGCATACGTGACGTGGATCATAAATATATCAGCAATTAAACAACATCTTCAATTTATTTATTTTTTTCTTTTCTTTGAATATAAGATTGTAATTACTAAGTTGAGAGAATATTCAGGGGTTTTGGGTGATGGGAGACACATCTATGGAATCAGAATTTCAATATCTTACCGTTAAATGACGGATATACCTTTCCGTCAGCAAATCAGATATTAATGTGAAATATTATAGCAATATCCTGTAAAATTATGTGAAAACTCAAATAAAACTACACATATTCAGATCTTATACATACATACATACATACATACATACATACATACATACATACATACATACATACATACATACATACATACATACATACATACATACATACGTGTCCTACACTAATAACACAAATTATGTTATTATGGCATTGTATGCTGTGTGTTTTTATTTCACAATAAAGTTAATAGTAATATTATGTTTGATATTATGTTTTATTAACTCGACCACATTCTGATTAATGATGTGAAATAAACAACCCTTAAATCAGACTTCAGTTACACCTGAGTAAAATTCAGGGAACGTGATTGTCAAGTGCCAACAATCAGGAGAGATATTTGATAGTTGGTGCTTGAAAAGACTAAACATTTATCTGCAGTTCCCTATAAAGCATACTCATTACTCGTTATTCTCTACTAATAGTTAATTAAAGACTGTATATAATGGCTATTTTGCACATCCCTTTCAAGATTTCAAGATATTCAAAGGTTTATTGACATATCATATACACAACTACGGTGTAGTTATGCAATAAATGAAAAACTTGGGTCACAGGTTCCTCAACAGTGCATTACAAGACATCTATCAATATGTGTGTATACCTCCACCATTAAACTGTCATATTCTGCACATTTCTTATACTATCTACATACATAAGAGTATAATTCATATGTATAATATCAGTTAAAATAAGTGCTTCAACATAGTTAACATTGCAGGAAAGCAATATATTAGACGTTAAGTACTTTGTCATGCTGAATATTTATCTGTAGATACCCCCAAAGCTTTTTTCTTATAAGAAGACCTTAACCTAAAGTATTCTTTAAGTGTTTAAATAAAGGTTCATTTGTTATTCTGTTTTGCACATCCTCCTATTAATATCTTTGTACATCATGCACTAAACTGTTTTATTGTAGAGATCACTTACAGTATCTTCTTGATTTTTTTATATTCTATATTTCCATCATTGACCTTCTACTTTCCCCCTATGAAAGTATGTACTCTTAATATTTTTCAAATATAACACATTAAAGAGCAACTTGCAGGTTAGAGACACCAGTGAATAAATGTGTAGGAAAATGATGTATACACTAGATTTTTAAAAAATATACAGAAATATACACTACAGTGACATCTGGCGTAGTTTTTGTAAGACATTTTTACTTCCGCATAAAAAAAGCCTCCCCATGTGACCTCCCGCGTGTGACGTCACATGGGGAGAGCGGCCGGTCTAAAGTATTAATAAACATGGATCCCAATGCTAGTTTTGAAACAGAAGAGGTTGAACATGTATATTCGAATGCATATGACGGACCACAACCATATAATTATGAGCCTGCTTGGCGTCCAAGAGACCAGGAGCAGCCAAGGATTAGAAGAAATAACGGCCATCGGAGAGAAATTGAGCTGTGGTGTGTTGGAGCGTTGAGTGGTCTGAAACCCACCTCGGCTCCGTGTGTCCTTTGATGAGCTGGTTAAATTATAAAAGGAATTCAAAGCACCAGGATAAAAGTTAAACAATAATCTGTTTTAATGGTAAAAAACAACAATACAAAATACAGAGTACTCTGGGCTCAGTTCTTACTACCGTGCGATACACGTATCGGGGACGGTCAGTCAGAAGGGCTCCGTGTATAGAAATCTAATAATATGTATACACACAAGTGGGGAGGAGTTGTGTCGGTTGCTCCTCCCTGTCGCAGTGAATCAGCGCGAGCCAGCCGAGGCGACCCGGAAACAAGAGTCTGTTAAGTTTGAGGTAAAGCAGACACACTTGGTGTCCGGCACGAACCATCTCCGAATAACAAGTTTGCTATCTTGCATCCTGCAGCCTGCGCCTACACACACACACACACACACACACACACACACACACACACACACACACACACACACACACACACACACACACACACACACACAGACAGACAGACAGACAGACCAGCTGTGGAGAGTATGTGCTACAGGGAGGTGGATGCACCGAGGAACGAACGCTAGCTCCGGTCCTTTTCCTGTTAGGGAAACTGTGGACTCGATGTCCTGACAGGCTGGAGTTTGTGCAACCTGCACAAACTCCAGCTCACCATGATTACAAATGGTGAAACGCAATGTAAAATGACCAAAACAATACCAGCTCACTAAATCACAACCGCTCAAAACAACTACAAACTACTACCGCGGATTGGTTAGAGAGCGACTCCGAGAAAGTTGCGCCCCCATCAGACGTAATTTGACGTATGACGTTAACAAAAAAGCAGTTTTTAGTAGCAGAGCACAAAACGGCTCCTTTCCCTCTGAATTCCTGCCCTTATCTCTTGTAAAACATATCAAATCCTGCATTAACTTTTTTAATTGTAATTTTCAGGCAAGGTTAAGCATAAATATAGTAAAAAAATTAAAAAAAACCTGCAAGTTGCTCTTTAATCCTAATACTGATGCCATCTCCTTTTTTCATGATTTTGCACACATCACTCTGCATGCTTAAAGAAACCACCTTTAGCTTTTGTAATTCAATCAAATAACTCGATATTAATAATTCAAATCAGCTTAATAACATTTTTATTTTACAGCCGACCTTTCATGGTTTCCTTCCGTACTGTTCAAGGTCCTTTTTTTCAAGGTATTTTATTAAACATACAAAACAAGTGTCAGTGTGGTTTTGATGTGGCAGAAGCTTTTGTAAAGGATTTGGACAACCTCTCATTTCCAGAGAACAGAGTGCTAAAGTTCAAAGCTTTTCATCTAAAAGCATTCATTTCAAAAACACAGGATATGTTTTTTTAGTTTGCTCTTTATGTCCTGTGTTACATTTTGACAGCTTGTGCACCTGGAGCAAACAGAGCATCAAAGATTGGTTGTAAGCAGAAACATAAACATATCAAAGTCAGCCCCTATTCTGATTAGCTTGTCATTTGTTTAGTTTTGAAATCACATGTTGCAAACAGATGGTCATTAAGAGGGCGTCTTCCTTGTATGATTTCATTGAGTTTAAAGTCTTTATTTCATGCATTCTTTTGCAAACAGAATTGTAAAATGTTGGTCTATTGACAGATAATGTTTTTCAGGTTCGACATGTTGGGTGTAACGGTTGAGTTAAGGGTAGATGTTGGCAGATAATTCAATGCCAAAGAAAATAGGCCTCATGATTCTGTGGATGTTTGAATGCATTCAGTTGTGTCTGTGTATGGTATACTTTTTGCAATGCTGTTTTTCTGACAGATTATTCTTGGTGAATGTTTTATGACAGCAGATGATCAGAAATAAGTGTATACCAATATCTGCAACATACAATACATGTCTTAGAATTATCTTCTGGTTATGAATCGGTTCAGAATGAAGGTCATCCTCATATATGCTGTACTCTGAAACATAAAGTTGACGTGTTTCTTTTTGTGTAGTCCTACTTTGTATTTGTCAGTGTAGATTCAATATGAACATGCCTTTGGTGCCATAACTATTTAGGTACTCTTTTTCTGAGAGGTTTTTGTTACTTCAGAGGGAAGCATATGTTTAATGCATGGTCCGACCGTTAGCCCACAATATTAAGACTTCCGATCTATAACATAATGTATATGGATGTACAGTATACATCTATAAATCCAGCATGTCAATGTGTCTCTCCTCTGTTCCTTCTCCCACCGGGACAGGTTGGAGCAGGATGTAAAGAAGTTGAAGGCCGACCTGCAGGCCAGCCGGCAGGTGGAGCAGGACCTGCGCAGCCAGATCGGCTCGCTGGGCAGCGCCGAGCGCTCCATACGCACCGAGCTGAGCCAGCTGCGCCAGGAGAACGAGCTGCTGCAGAACAAGTGAGTGGAAAGCTGGGTCACTGGAGTTCATTGTCAGGCATCAGTAAAACTACATATTCCTCACATTTGTGCAGATCTGAGTTGTATCTCGCAAATAAATGACGAGATGAGATCAAACAAAAAAAACAAAACAAGTTCTATACATGTGAAACCGTGATTTCTTACCCTATAGCACGGGTAAGAAATCCTGTCCTTGCCAACCTGTGTTACCTCTTGTTAATGTTCTCTTGTATCCTGGTTGTATCTGTGCTTCTTCTAGGCTCCATAATGCAGTGCAGGCAAAGCAAAAGGACAAACAGTCAGTGGGCCAACTGGAGAAGAGGCTCAAAGCAGAGCAGGAGGCTCGAGCCGCCGCAGAGAAACAGCTCGCAGATGAAAAGAAGCGGAAGAAGTTAGAGGAGGCCACAGCAGCCAGAGCAGTAGCACTAGCAGCAGCATCCAGGTAGCTGCACCTCTGACATTTCACTGCTGACTTCGCTTTATCTGAAGTTCTCATCTGTTATATTCCTGAATCTACTACTTCTCCTTCCATTTTCAGAGGGGAGTGCACAGACACGCTGAGGCGGCGAATCAATGAATTAGAAACAGAGTGTAAGAAATTATCAATGGACAACAAGCTAAAGGAAGACCAGATAAGAGAGCTTGACTTGAAAGTTCAGGTAAGGAATTTTTCTGATATTGTTGTTTTTTTATTCTGCTCGGGTATACATTAGGGATGTGCATCTCCATCACTGAGGCCGATGTGATGCACATCTCAATACGTTGCCGCGATACGATACATTAACGATACATTTGAAACACCCGGCGATGCAATACGATACGATTCACCCCTGTTGCGATACAGTTCGATACGACTTGATTCAACATTATGCGATACGGGGTGATGCGATGCAAAATAATGATACTTCAATATGGTACGACAGAGGATTTTTGTTTTAATCCTCATATGCAGCAAATCTTAAATTTAACAAAAAAGTGCTTTACATTTGGTACTGCACATCCCATCATGCCGTTTATTTTTTTACCTTTAAAAGCTCTCCAGACTACAGTACAATTGTATAAAACCTCAGAGTTAAACAATGTAAGGATGCATTGCTCATGATTAACAATGTGCAAATAACAGCTACCATAGTGCAATATACAGCTGCCAGCCTGATGTGCTTAACACTCATTCATAGGCTAACTCACCAGTGAGCAGAAAGCAGTGGTTTCTATAGGAACGATAAAGAATACAAATAACCTTTCACAAACAGCTCTATCATCACTGCTTACAGTAAGGAAGACATTTAAACTATTATTGGCAGTCACAGGCTGTTGTAAACTAACCACAGGATATTATATGAATGAATTGTTTTTTTACTGATGCAAAGACGCTACAATCAATGCATCGGGAGTTCAACCCAAACTGTAGCCGATGTGCACTCTTTCAACCGGTGCCCTCGCATCTTGAACGTTTATGCCGGTGCAAGTGCACCGATGCGAATCGGTGAATCTTAACATCCCTAGTATACATGAATGTTTGGATTCTGTCATGTGACCTTGGTGCAGGCTTGTGTACATGACTAGTTCTGCTTTGGTCGTGTACACTTACATTTTGGAATATGGTGCAGCAAAATGTAACATGCCCATGTTATATCATGATTGGGCATTGCTTGAAGCTCTGTCACAGCTATAGTGCACCACAACTCGTCAATACCAGTGTGCAGAAGGCAGGTAAACATAGCTTAAAGATAGAAATATGTCATTGTTTGCGATGACATAGAAAATATGAATGAATTCTACACCTTACCTGTTTAATTTTACAAACCACCTAATCATGTTAGAGGCATGGTCCAGTACTTAATCAGTGACTTTCACCATTCATAACTTGGTATTCATTACTTAGGTTTCATCCATCTGCCATACATTGCATATACTGTATGTACTGGTTTTAATAGTTATACTGTTTCATTGTTTCATTTCTATATAAAGGCTGGATTGTGTTTTTCTATTCTTTCTTTTTTGTTTTACTTGTTAGTTGCTTTCTGCAGCTTGGCAAAAAAATTATTCGCCACATGCACCGTGTTTGTTTGTATTTTAAAATACGATTTGACTCGTTATTAAATGGCTTAAACCGTAATAGTATATTCAACCCTAGTGCTCATAAATGTGGCAGTGCTGTTGAAGTCAAAGCAGCAGTCTGCTTCAGGTTTTGATGCTCTGTGTACCTCTAAGGCTTTATGTATACAGTCAACATTATGTTGAGAGAATTGTTTTTATTAACAGTGATATTCTGGCACAGGCTTTTGGGATTTTAAAACTGTTTGCCTCACTGAAGTGACGCATACTATCCTCAGCCAGACACACCTTCTCCTAGGATGTACAAATTGTTTGTTTGTTTTTCATGCGCCTCTAACTTCAACTTTCACATCAGCTATGGATGTTATAAAACAAATATAATTTGCACCGTGCCATTGCTCTCAGCAACGTGCTAAGCATCCAGTCAGAGAGAGTTGACCACACCTGTATCTCTTCTCCTCCATCTTTCAGGAGCTTCATAAATATAAGGAAAATGAAAAAGACACAGAGGTGCTGATGTCGGCGCTGTCAGCCATGCAGGACAAGACGCAGCACCTGGAAAACAGTCTGAGTGCAGAAACCAGGATCAAACTGGACCTGTTCTCTGCGCTGGGAGACGCCAAGAGACAGCTGGAGATCGCACAAGGTCAGTTTGACGTCCACAGAGGCTGGTGTTCTCTGTTGAGGGGGTTTTACTTCTCTGAATACACCTGTGGTAAGGTGAGTGGGTTCCAAAAGCACATAAGGAGAAGCTGCTTATTATAACTGAAAGAGCATTATTTATTTAACAATAAACTCTGAAAACTATAAAATCACGGCCAGCTAACATTACCTGTATCTCACCGACTGTAGTTTGAGCGTGACATCATACACTTATTCAGAGAAAAGGTGGCCATTATCAAAACGTAATAATATTAATTCTGGATTACATTGGCTTTTTAGCATTTCTAAATATTCATTGCACCATTCAAACTACGATAAGTCAAAGCATATCTGTTAGTTATTCTCAATGTAAAACCAAAGTCTATAAATTGCCAAAATGGGTTTATAATACCTGGCAAATTAAAAAAGAACAGCAACCTGTTGCTGGAGGTAGTAAGGGGGAATATCTTTATGGCACACTTTAGGTTTGTTTACTATGTCCTTCATGTGTTTTTTGCTGTTCATGGATGTATTGGTCTCAAAAAAGTGACGCTATAGTGAAGCACAACCCAATAGACGAGACAACTTGTAAAAACTGTAGAAGAAAACGGTCCAGCGTCGGACATTTTTAACACTGGCCGTAATAAAGATACAACTTTGAGCAATTTGTCAACTCTATTCTTAGTTGCCTTCTCTTTGGACTGACATGTCGTCTGTTTTCAGCTCAGATTCTGCAGAAGGACCAGGAAATAAAAGATCTGAAACAGAAGATAGCCGAAGTGATGGCCGTCATGCCCAGCATCTCCTACTCATCCGACAACAGCAGCATGAACCCCGTGGCCCCCCATTACTCCTCCAAGTTCATGGACACCAATCCCTCCGGCCTGGACCCCAACGCCTCCGTATACCAGCCACTCAAAAAGTGAACGCTACGTCCCGCGCCCTCTCCTGCCTCTGTCATCTTTTATTTCTCCTGCAGGCCCACCACCTTCCACTCTGCTCGGCATGTCTGCGGCTGAGAACATTGTTTTTCTCTGGTTATTATTTTGTTCTCCTCGCCAGCTCAAAAGGATGTTGTATCGTGTGACTGTATTTGTTGTAGTTAAAACAAAGACAAAAAAACTTTAAAGCGGACATCACATGTCAACATGGAAGTCACTCTAAAGTGTCTAGTGAAACCTCACAGAATCGGGTTTGTATTTTCATCTCAAGGAGGGTTTTGCTCTCCCTCGCCCACCACCACAACCTGCTCTTTGGTCCTGGGGGAATAGCTGCTTTATTATTTTAGCTTGATTATTGCCTCCTAAAACTTGGAGTTCTCCTACTATGATACAGCCTGACTAGTATCTCCATTTCTTTGACAGATTTGTTTTCTTTCTCCCGAGGTAATATGGCAACATCTGTGCAACCAGAGGAATGTAGTGCAAAGTTGGCACGGACTCTCAGCCCTGTTATTTAATTTGTTTTAAACCAAAATGAACCCTGATTTTGGGGGTTTCGGTGGTAAATAGTTTTTAAAGTGTATTGTGTGGTTCTATTGGTTCGCTCTTTTAGATTTCAAGTTTTGATTGCAATACGTTGGAAAACATCTTGTGTTATGAGCAGAAACCATAAAATGCAATGAACCCAAGCAGCAAGTCATGTTCAGCATTAATGAAAAAAAAGCTGTTTTGTCCCCCCCCTGCCCCCCAGAGTTTTTAAGTTGAAGAAAGTGCTGTCACAGGAGCATGTGTATATACAAGTGTACCGGCCTCTCTGCACTCTCTTTCATCCGTTTTTATGATCAGTGCCTTGAGTTCAGGACAGTTTGGTGATGAGATGCAGTCCAACACGTTGTGAATTATAAGTAAAGCATCTGGCTCGGATGGAAGAATTTGACCTAGCCTTGTGAAGTGGGAAAAAGTTGCCTTTAGACTGTGATTTGGCTTTTGGACTTCGTACTGATATCCCCGATTTGTAGGGAAGCTGATCCACCGTGTCCACTCGAGGGTAGCTTCTGTACGTCTCATTTACCAGATTTAATGGACCACAACAAATTAATTGTACTTCTATTTGCCTATCAGTACGTCCACTGCTTCCAGGTCTCTGGATCGTCACATTTCCATTCACAGAAGCTCACCTCTACTGGTGTTAAAGCCCCGAATCCTTGGCTTTAGCTGCTGCCCCCCTATGTCCTTTTATTATTTCCAATTTTTAAAGTTTCACTGTCGAAAATACAGACGAAAGGGAAAACTCTAAAGATGGACTGTGCAATGTAAACAAAGCTTTGGAAATGCCAACGTTAATAGAGCAGTTTAAATAATTTTATTTAATGAATCCTCCACATCAGTTTGTGTGCCAAGACTGGGAATGCTCGTTTCTCTAGTAACGTGTTCAAGAATGTACCGCAAATACATTGGCCGAAGTGTTTGTCAATTATCCAGTTTAAATATCACTTAATGGAAGTTTCTGTTAAGCAGGTAGAGAAAGTGGTCACCTGTTTGTAGTAGACTGTGTAGTTTAAAAAGTAAGGGACTAGAAAGTCACATTTATTTTTGTGAATGTTACAGTATTTGCAACTGTTGGGGAAGTAGCTGTCTTTAAGAGCAGCTATCCTTACTCCTGTTTCTGGTATTATTGTTATTTTCCTGCAGGGAGAAAAATCGCTTGAGTCTGATGTGGTTTCTCCATCATCTGAAATGGTCTTTGTTGTGCGCGTGGTTTTTCACCTTCTGTATAAGGAGATGCTTTTTTTTAGCTCAGATCGCTGTCATTGGCTCCTGGAAAAAATGTTTTGGTGAAAAATACAGTTGAGTCAGTTGTTTGGTCAGCTGATTGTTGGAAGTAGAGAGAAGTGTTTTGTTTGTTTTTTTGTTTTCTATGCCCACAGTCACTGCTCTGTTTCTCCCCAGGTCTGACCTTGGCTGTGCTCTCGCTCTGTGAGGTTTACAAGGAATAAACTTTTTTTTCTTGCAAATAGAATTTTCTCTGTTTACTGTTTTTGACTCGATACATTGAATTTGGATTTTTCGCTTTCCAAATCTTAGTCTGAGACTAAGATATCAACCCTTGGTGAGCCTGCTTTTCAAAACTTGTGGGCTTTAAAAGAAGTGTGGAAGAAATGTTTCTTGCAAGTCCTTAGATTTTATGGAAATGCACTAAAAATAATTCACTAAAATGCTGTGGCACCCTAGAACCATAATTCCTTTATGGCATCTGGAACTCTGTCAGCCCATCAATTTGTTTTTGTTGTAATGTTTTATTTGTAGTGATTTAGCTCCAATGAATGACCTAAAGTAAAACAATATCCAAGATGTGGGTTCCTTAATGTGAAATTTGCCATAAAAAAAGGTTAATCCAACTGTTGCTATTTCTGGTATTGTAGATTAGATGCACTACTGTGTTACTGCCACTAGGTGGCAGTGTTTATGTGGGTTAGAAGAGATAATTTCTGCAGAATCAGGTTATTAACCACTAATTCCTTCTTTTCAAGACCAGAACATCTCATTTAACTCTGACAAAAGGAACGTATGAATAAATTGTTCATGCTAACCACTAATCACGGCTGGTCAAAACATAGTGACCAATTGTGCTTCCAAGAGCAATTCGGCAACTTCAGGGTGAATGCTTTTCAAATTCAGACATAATAACCTTCAGGGAGTTTCTCTGCTCTGCTGACCGCTGTCTGGGCTCGAGATTTCAGTCACTGATGGAACCACAAGTGGGAGCAAAATATGGGTTGCTGCGCATCTTCATTGGACTGATAATTCATTCATCGAATGCATTTGGATTTGAGATCAAGAATCAAAAGACAGTGAAATTCAATGCATGAAATAAACCCTCTGCTCAGCATTCTTTCACCTGCCAGGCTTCCCCAAATATGCTAGATTAACCTGTGCAGTGCCACATGTGGGAAAAGCTCCTCCTCATCTCCCCTTATTAACTGGTGCCTTGGTTTGCCATTCCTTTGTTTTACATACAATTCCTAGTATGATTTTCCCTCCTTGTTCCAATTTGGCATTTGTTGTTGCTGTTTAGCAGAATCGAGCATGTGGAATTAACATATTATATCAGGTTTTTTCTGCATTTGGTCCAGCAGTACTCGCGATGCCATTAGAATTCACTAATCGACACCAAATCCAGCTGTTTGTAGAGAAGAACATGAGAAATGCCATGTATAGCTCGTGTTTCTCTTGACCTTCTCAATAAACATGGAGTCCATGAGCAATTTTCTGGCTGGAAATCGACTCTGCGCCCCCTGCCTTTATACCTGACCCTCTCAAAAACAACGTGCAACAGATTAAAAAATGATTTGCAGGTTTTTTTAGTGTGTGTGTGTGTGTGAATAGATGTGCGTAGATATACTTGTGTGTGTGTGTGTGTCAATCAGATATTGAAGAATCATCCCTGCTGAATGCTCACCACTTCTCCTTCTTTATGTGCAGTTGGACCCCTCTTCTCTCCTCTAACAGAAATGTATTGATTTTCCTACCCAGACACACCTAATGAAACTACTACCCCTGTTCCTGCTTTAAAAGTCAATATATGTGTTGCATGCTTCAGTTACTAGCAAATGTACTAACCACTCTTTTGTCTCAAACCTCTCAGTGAAACATGCTCATAGCCGCCAACAAAGAAACAGTGATTGAAAAGGAATGCACCTGCAGAGTGCAGAGGGGTGGTTGTGTTTACAGCACTGCACTGTAGCTGTGATTATTCTCTCCCTAGGAAGCATTTTTATTGCAGAAGAAGTCAATACTATGTCACTTCTAAGTGAGTTTCAGATTGAGGATAGTGTTGTTGCCTAATATGTCCTGTGGGGAGTATTAGCCTGTTCGCACACCTGAGCTTGTCACATCCTTGAAATGCGGTACAGCAAGATGTGTTGAAGGCCACTCTCTGATTCATGTAGTGGAAGGTGATGTAAGCTCAGGGAAACTCAATATAGATATTTGGCTTTGTGTAATTTTAAATGTGTTTTATAAATAGACACAATACAATACAAAGGTGTCAGTGCCAACACCCACATATTTGTTTTTAATTTCTTACTTTAACCTTTTTTCACTTGACAACATGCTTACAGTTGTCTCAACACAAGAAAACTTTGCAACATTATAATACAAGTAATTACTATATAAGGCTATAGTAAGTATTGATGTTGACCCAAGCATCAATTGAAAAACTATTTGTGATTGTGATTGCTAATTTGGTTAGCCCATCTCTTGTTTACTTGTGTCCTCTGAAAAGTCTTAGAACTGCATAAAGTGGGACTATAATGATCTTGTAGAAATGTCAACAGATTTGTTGTTAGTTAACTGAATTTTTTTCTTTGGCCATGTGTTTTTACTCACGCAAAAAGAGGTCAATGTGACATGATTGCTTGGCTGGCTAGTAGGGTTTTCTCTTCAGAAATGGGAAATAAGATTTCTTTGTTTACTGTCTAGCTCTCCCTAACTTCCTCTTTTTTTTCATCAGGAGACCCCTATCCTCCAGATGTCCGGCAGGGACTCCTTCGATTTCAATGTTGAACAATGACTCACTGATATCATGGGTATTTTCCAAGAAAGGATCTCTGAGCCTTCCTCCCCTGCAGCTGTTTACTTGATGGGCTTTCAGAGCACAAGGGCATAATATGGGGGCTAGGGTTACACACAGTAGAGGGAACAGGATGCAACGTATCATTAGGTACATCTGTAACAAAATCACAGGATCTTGCTTGAAATGGACATTGAAAGGACATGTTTGTTGTTGGTTCACTTTGAGACAGAAACACTCATAACATGAATGTTGCTGCTGCGTTTGCTGTATACACCTGAATAGGTAATCAACTGAATTTAAGTCCCATCTATTTCTGGTCATGACATTACTGACACCGAATAGACGATGCATTTTGAAGCTCAATAAGAAGCCATGTGGCTGGCTGAATTAAACATGAGGTCTCACCACAGCCCGTGGTGTGAATACAAATCATTTTAAAGCAAAATACAGTGGCTGGAGTCAAACTGCAGCGAGTATTAACAGCAGCAACACACTGCTGCTGCTGCTGAGTGCAACCTCACTCACAACTCGCATGATTCCACAAGCGGGCGTCACGCACATTATCCGGTTAATTTACATACAAAACACCGCCCAGGGGGACGAACATGATAATCTACCATCGACTGAAAGCGAACCGTGCGGAGGGGAGAAAAAAACAGCTCAAAAAAAGTTTGTACAGGAGAGGGCTGTTTTAACCCAGTGTTTCGACACAGACAACAGACGCTCGTCGGGCTCTTTGCCCCACTTTGGATTACGATATGGACGCTTTGAAATCCGCTGGAAGGGCAATTATACGGAGCCCCAGTATCGCCAAACAGTCGTGGGCAGCGGGGAGACATAAAAGTGAGTATACTCTGTTGTTTTATACATGTCCACGAAGGCGTTAACTGGTGCTCATTTGGCTAAATGGACGCTAAATCAAGCTAGCGTCGACATGGAGCTAACATTACACCCGACGTTTACTTTACAACTCAGCTACAGTTGTCCGGGAGATAATAGCTGTCAGTGTAGGGGTGTTTCGCCACCACTACGAACAGTTTAACATTAGACTAGGGGTAAAGGCGAGTATTCAAAGTCTGAGATGTGTGTTATGCTTTTGAACTTGACACTTATTAGTATAGACACGCAGCTCGTCGTAAACTGACTCCTGTTGAAGCAGAAACTAGTTGAACTGCTGCTACGCACATCTAACAAGTCAATTGAGTTGAAGGGTTTTAACCACTCCGACCAGAAGCAGACACTGAAGTTTGCGAAACCCTTGTCTGCCACGTCACTCTGCCAACTGACACGGTTATAAAATTACAACAGAGGCTCAGCAGCTCAGCGTGGAGATACAACACAGCGCCGTGCACCTCGAGAAAGCAGCAGGGGAGTCACGGGAGTGGACAGCCATGGACGGATGACGGATGAGTCTCTCTGGCTCTCCCTGGCAAGGCTGTACAATCCTAGCAACGCACTGTTGCTAGGCGATACACTATGTGAGAAATAGGCTGTATGAGGAGTGGTTGCAGGGGTCTTATAGGGGAGTCTAGTTCAAACTACTGCGAAGCTTGATTTAGGGGTCTAATGAGCATTAAAGCCATGATAGGTGTTACTTGTTATTTACATATGATGCCAGGCTTCAACTGAGTATCATCACACTCACTGTACTAGCATGGCTGGTCTGCCTAAACCCTTTTATGTTTGCATACACATAAAGGGAATGTCCCCTGCTCCCATGCCCACCCCTCCTCCCTTTTTCATTTCATAGACAATAGAGCACTTGGCAGCAAGATGTCACACATGCCAGACAGTGCAATCGATGCTTTGTTTTGGTCCACCTCTCTCTTGGGGGTCTGATGCACAATCAGCATGGTCCCCTTTCCACATCAGACGGTGGGCTATAACGACCAGTCAGTCTCTGCTGCTGGAAGCTCAGGTTCAGTGAGCTTTGTCATGACTACACATCACAGAATATATATATATATATATATATATATATATATATATATATATATATATAACTAGATATAGGGTCATTTTCTGCACATGTCAATAGCAGTTTCAACTATCTTTTTTTGGAAATTAAAATACTATATATACATAATAACTTTTTATATATATATAATTTTTTTTGGGATGTTATTATTTTTTGTAGATTTGTTGAGTACGTGTTTCNTATATATATATATATATATATATATATATATGAAGCTGCACTTTCAATCTGTGGCCATAACCACTTCCTCTCCTCTCTCTGCTGCTGCTGCTGCAGAATAGCAGAGATAAGCTGGTCCTGTCAATCACTTAACATCAATCATATCATTTATTCCCCCGTCATTGCTTATTTATTGCAGTTTCCTGTTTCGTCTGCTTATGTAACTGTTCATCTTCCTAATTTTTGTTCAAAATGTTGAGATAATAACAGTATTTTATTTGGCACCAGTGAACTGCACAGTCACGAATAAGACAACATAATGTTTTATCTTGAAGTGTCAGACGGTTTCTGTTACAATGTCAGCTTCTGTTTTCTACATTATATGTCTATATATACTTTTTTAGGAAATACAAATTGTGGTTATTCATCTTCTAGTGTGCCTTCTGGCTTTGGTTGCATTTGTATGGGTCTAGATTTTGACAGGTCCATAATGAGTCAGTTTTGTTCTCCTGTGTGTAGGCATGGCTTTGTCAAAGCAGCCTATTCACTTCTTTGGCATCTATCAGCACTGCATTCCTTTTTTCCCACTGTCAGTGTTGGATTGTGACAGGTTCCAGCATTGTTTTCATAAAACTTGCCTCTTTAATCATCACTGCATGTCAACGTATAAAGCGGACTGACATTAGCTTCGCCCTCCTTTCCTCCTTTTTGCAGTCTCGAGCCTCTGCACGAGCAAGAATGTGTCCGTGATGTCATTTCCTGCCTGGTTTTAAACAACACGATTCCTTTTTGGCAGTTTGCTGAGCTGACAAATTCTTCTGTGCTGCCCTTACATTACATCCAAATACTTTCAATTTTAATGGTTGGAAATGGAATGTAACATCAACCATCTTTTTAAGTCATAAATGCCGGTTTATTTTTTGCTAATCTGACAAGTGTGGGAGGCAGAAAATCCCTGTCTGCATTGAAGAGGGACAGTTTCCTCCCACGTCCCCGGTCAAGGAGCTGTCTTCTGAGGGGTTGTCAATATTGAAGCAGCTACATACCTGTCAGTTGACCCAGGCAGATGGCTAATGGGAAGGAGGGCGTTTGATCTTATACCATTTTTGATTTCATCATAATAACACCTGCAATGTTGTCCTCGGGTGGTGGTAGTTGCCACAGCTGTTGACTAATTTGCATTTGGTACATTATTCAGATAGCGCCACTGCAGCGACATAAGTTGGGGGGTTGCTGTAAATTATACATCTGTAGCTATCATTTAAATGCCATAATGGGTAATGACAGACACAGTAGTCCTTTAATTGCCTTTTTAGTAAGCCCCTGTTTCTTCTACAACAGACAGTGTGTGGTCTGCCCCTCTGGCCCCATTCAGCGCTACAGCCCCTGCAAAAAGTCACCCAAAGGGGTCTGCCAGGCTCTAATGGAGATTGCTTCTTGCGGGATTCCTTTATAGAGTTGTAAAGCTCTTACTGATTTATAGCCCTGTTAGATCTTCTGTATCTGTAAGCCTCTGTGTGTGAGTCACGTGTGGATAGGACTGCGCAATCATGCTCTGTCACTGTTTCTCCTAGAGGACCATTTTTAATCCTGCGGGGAAATGGATGTTTGACTTTCTCTTGTTTCAGCTGACACAGCAGGGAAACTAGGATACTTTAAGCGTCAGTAACTGTTATCATCACACCAGTAACTGGCACAGGCTGAGTTGAGAGCTAAATTGCAGTATGATGAATTTGTGAGCCAATCTATTTCCATCTGTTATTCACTGAGCTATATTGCATTCAGTTGCCTGCCTGTGATTAGAGCAATTGTACATCTATTCCCATATGCTATTATACCAGAGTAAACATGATTTCCAATCTTGTGTAAACTGCATAAATAGCTCTGAAAAACATCCTATTATTTTGTGGCAGACGCAGAATTAGAAAACCAAGTCTCCACAAAGATTGTTTATTTTTCTTATTTAAGTTAATGTCTCTTATTGGCCCAACTTTTCACAGTAGAGGGATTACTTTGAAAGAATTTGCCATTCTGAGAAGCCAGAAGGCAAGTCTGGGTAGGAGGCACAGTGACTAACCGCTTCACCTTCCTGGAAAAAGAAATAATTCATGTAATCTCCTTCAGCCATATGCGAAGACATATGGACAGTGTGGTAGTTCAGTTCTTAATCTTCATAGGAGATCTTGTTGACTAAGCAGCTACCATTTGAGACTTTTCACAGCATGGGGACAGCACACAAATCCCAATTAAGAATCTTGAGGGGTTATTGTTTTGGTCATTGGGTGTTTTCAACCATTTATTTCCCTTAATCAGTGGTGAACAAAGAAGAAAAACAGCAATTCTCTACAAGTCTGAAGCATTGAAAAGTCATTCTTGGGCACCTTCAGCAGTACAAAGCTTCCCCTTCTCGAACTGGTTAGTCAAGCTGTGGAGGTTTATTTATGTCTTTCGGGGTATTTGGTCAGTTGACATGTATGAAACTAAACATTGTTTGTCAAGATGCCCCGTCCCACTGAAGTGAGCCCGTAATTCAGGTCAAACTTGCTCTTTTTGAGCACCAAAACTGTGTTCTGTTAGTGCTGTCTTACTAAACCTGACGTGACACACCCGTTACCCTTAACTTACCCCAAACAAATCCTTTATAAAAATCCATATGAATGCAAGAGGGATTGTTTTTAATTTAATGGACCTGCCTTCCACCTGTATGTCCGCAACTGCTGCCAAAAATAAACGTTGAAACATGTCCCTGCAAATATTGAAGTAAGGATGCGGAGAAGAGATTTGCAGTGCTGACAAGCACACCTCTTAATTCTCAGGGAGACATAACGCAAATCTGTGAACCTGTGTGTCAAACTGGTTCAACAAGAACTCATCAGCCCTTGGGGCAATCGGTGACTTAACAGAGAGTAACAAAGTCAACGGAATGGTTTATTCATTTTCATTATAAATATGACGTTTTGGTGTAGCAGTCCTTTTGCTACTTTGTAACTAAGACTTCATTCTGGACCTCAGTCAGACTGTGTTCAAATTACCTTCAGTTTAATTCTGTCCCATTACGGTCCTTTTCTGTGACTGCAGGTCTCAGATTCTTTATGTGTCGGTATGTCTTATACCTGACCAGACTCACAATTAGCTCTGATCACACCTCCGCACCATAATCATTGCAGTTAGGACCATTGACTTGTCATTGTGGCTTTTTGACGGCATGTCTGTATTTGAGTTTTTTTGAACACCATTATCCAGTTTACAATTCCCAGTACAGTTATATTGTGTGCAAGTATGTTGCCCATATGAATCGAGCGGTTGGCGTGGCTGAGCACAAGGTGCTTTTAAGGATCAGTTTCATAACCCTGCTTCTTGTCGAGAGTACATTCTGGCCTCAGCTGGTCATCAGCTGTAATCCCTGACTGGCATGACCACTCATTTCTCCTCTCTCTCTCTCTACCCCTCCCTCTCTCTATCCTTGATTCCCATGTTTGAGTGGATTTAGCCAACACTGAAAAACACGTGTCTCAATGTTATGAATATAAGACTCTTATCCTCTGCAAATCCTTTCCTCTACCCAACTGGAATTGTTTTGTAATGGTCGTCTAATGAAATACTGATAGCTACACTTCCTTTGTATTATGCTCCAACAGAGGTATTAGAATATCTTAAGCCTGCTGGAGTAGAAGATGAAAGAACCAAAGGACATAGAGAAAAGAGG